AGCCCTCGGTTCGTGGAACATGAGTTCAACTCGGGCAGTGAGGACGATGCCGAGTCCGAGAGCACTCACGATGCTCCTGCGGACTCTGTGGGAGGGCATAGCCCAGTGCCCAGTAAACACAAAGATGACAGCGTGCAGTCGCTTGCTAGTGATCAAGGTGAGCACAGTCCTAGGACCTCTGTGCGCTCTGAGAGTCCGGCCGACAAGGCTAAGGGCGCTCCCACAGCCGGTGGCGATGAGGAAGAGAATCCTCGAAAACGTCTCTCGCTTGCCGAGGGTCTTGCGCGTGCTAAGGCCTCCAAAGCCGAAGGCGCCAAGCTCTCAAAGAAGCGTACTGCCTCTAAGTCTCCACTCCGCGAGGAGAAGGAGACTCGAGCTACTGTTGTCGCTAAGGTTCGAGAACGAGACGTACCCATCAACGATGTCGCTCCAGGATTGGAGTCCACATGAAGCCGGAGCTGCTCTCCAGAAATGGAAGAAGAAGCTTCGGAAGGCGTTTGGCGCCGTTGGCATCAATGCCGGAAAGCAGCCTGTGAGTCGACCGATGATTCAAGATGAAGATCCGTCTAAGATTCCACTGCCGCCGACGCCCCAACGACTCGTTCGTACTCCTCCGATCAAGCGTGGAGCTGAGCGTGGTGCCTTTGGCACTACCGAAGCTTCACCGTACTTTCAAGACTCGCACATGGTTACGCCACGTTCGGAGAGCCGTATGCAACGTATTTACGCAAGTAACGAGGGTTCGTTCGGTCGCCGAGGCGGTGCGCGAGCTCCTAAAGGTGGTGCCGGACGTCGTCAAGTCGACAGCGATGGTTCGTCCAGTGACGATGACATTTTGGTGCGTACATTCGACGAGGAAGATCCTCAACTCGAGTTGATGCGTCAGATGAATGAGCTAGCGACGCTGAACGACGTGGACCCAACACCGAGGATTGAAATGTCTTCGCACCGACCGCTGGATCGCATCACGCCGTTCTCAGGCTCTCGCAACAAGAGCGAGAACTGTATGCAGTGGCTCCGTGGGTTCGTCTATGAAATGACTGGAACCCACACAGATGCCGATAAATGGTGCATTCCATTTGAGCTAAGTCTCCGGGACGGAGCCATTCATTGGTTCCGTCAACTTCCGAAGAAGACGAAGCGCAAGTGGAAGCTGTTGAGCGATGCGTTTATCCGCTACTACTGCTCGCAGTTCACGCAGACGGCACTGTCGCGTTACTACTCCGCCAAGCGGGAACGTAATGAACATCTGTGCGACTACATAAACAGGCTGAATGGCTACGCTCGGACCGCCCGTCTACACTTTGAGAAGAGTGGTCGCGACGCGAAAGAACACGTACAGCAATTCCTGGCAACATGCGACGATGACAAGCTATCGGAGAGTCTCTACCACGCTCGAGTCGCCGACATTCACGAGCTCGAAGAGATCATCGAAGATGTTCTCAAGGGCTGTACTCTTCTTGAAGAGCCACTTGAATCGCCTCTTCGAGGGTGCTTGCCTGCACCCGGAACAGCTGAGTGCGTAGCGGGGCCCACTCGAAGGCCGTCCATGAACACAGTCATCTTGATGTG